AATTGTTTGGTTACCAACATTCTTCAGAATATCTTCTTTTGTGTTCAATGGAAGAAAGAAACTCATACAGGTTTGGAACAAAGTGAGGGGATGTAATGTATGACAGATTTTTCATTTTTGGGTGAACTGTCCCTTTAACAGAGTTATGCAGTAATGTATATTTAACAAAGTGTTTTTGGTGAAGTATGTTTAACCCTCTTTCTCTCTCTCTGTGGGTGTGTAGGGCATGACTCCTCTGATGTACGCCTGCTCAGCAGGGGACGAGGCTCTAGTGCACATGCTCATTGATGCTGGTGCGAACTTGGATGTAGCGGTAATGACACTGTACTCGTTCAGCCACATTATATGTCTTTTTTACCTATTTATCTATACCAGGGTGTCCAGTCCTGCAGTGGAAATGTCCATTAATCCTGTAGACCTTGATTAGCTAGTCCAGGTGTGTTTAATTAGGATTGGAACTACACTCTGCAGGATATTGGCTTTGTTGAATGAATGGTTTATTGTATTGTAATACTCCGGGAACTCACACATATGCAGAAGCATTTTGGTGGTTTACTAAGAAATACATATGTTTTGAACTTTGTTTTTCTTTTCAGGTGCCCAACTGTTCACCAAAACATCCCTCTGTCCATCCTGAGAGCCGCAGCTGGGTGGCCCTTACCTTTGCTGTGCTGCATGGACACATATCTGTAGTGCAGGTGAACATGCACTCTAGTTACAGTACATGTACAGTACTATTATTTCATGTAGTGGTTCAAGAATAGTGTATGTATTTACTGTCATACATTCATTTTAAATATGACTTAGAAAATAAGGCATGTTCTACTGTATATTGACATTACAAACTGTCATTGGAGGACTATCATGTTAAATTAACTTTGTTTGGCCTTTCCAGCTCCTGTTAGATGTGGGAGCAGATGTGGAGGGCACAGCCCTGAGAAACGACCACCAAAGCTCAGCAGAAACACCTCTCCAGCTGGCATCAGCCGCAGGTGGGGAAAAACAGTGCAAAGTCATCCTTAACATGCTTTCTTTTAAAGAGTTATGTTTGAATGTATTCTTAACACATAAAACTATAGCAGAGGCTATTTTCACCCTGGCACAAATAGTGGCAGATACTATTTGCAATGTAAATATAAAATAG